TGTTCATCCAGCTCTACACCTTGTTATCTCCACCTGTTGACTTCAACTTTACGACATTCACAAAAAATTAGCAATTGATAGAATAACATTTCTCATGAATTCAAGTGGCTGATTGTGAGAGAACGCAAGAAGACAAAGTTGCAGCAGTTGCAGTACAACATGAAATACTGTAACGCACTCAAAGAGCATGGAATGGAAATACATAGTAAAGAGTAACTTTTCCAGAGGATATCATAGACTAAGTAAACAGTTTAGTAAAATGTTAGTGTCCGTAAGAGCACCAGAAAAGACTTACCAAATGCTTAGTTTCATATCTTGGCATGGTGCTCAGTTCAAAGCTATATAAAAAAAAAACTAGTATGATTGCAACTGGCTATCTTGTACAGAATTTTAGGCACTCAGAAATATGAAAATTGATGTAGACATTTTATAAAGCCAAAGGCAAATTACTTTTGTCAATTTTCATAAGATATTACAAGGATGATAATGGAGAATTGCAAACTTAGAATTTGGCCCTCTAATGGAGCATTGAAGGTTGATGTGTGACCTAATGGAGAGAGTTAATGACAAAGTAACCTAAAGTAAATCATGATAGATTTCCTATTTGTCAGTGAAACAGTAACAAGGAGACTTGTAAGATCACAAGAATTAAGGGTTAGAAAAGTTGTAAACTCCCTACTGAATGAAAACAAATCCGTAATTTCTTTTTTGTAACAGGCAATGAATACATGACCAGAAAAAGTGCAAAGACACATGCAGAAGTGGATAAAAATGCTAGTCATCTTCATAAGTAACTTCTGGTGTTCAAAAATTTTAAAAGGAGGACAAGTCAATGAATTACAATTAATGAATTGTGCAGGAGTGTGTGTCTGGGGTGGTGTGCTCTTCAGAAGGCTGGTGTGGATTTGACAGGCCAAATGGCCTGCTTCCACACCATAGAGATTCTATTACAAGTGTATAAGGCCAGTAACATTTCATCTGCTCTGCACCAAATTCTCAGCGAAGTTTCTGTGCTCATGTTCCTGCAGCCAAATACTAAAATTTTCTTTGCTACCCGAAATTCCTCCCTTAGCACCTCACTGACTTCACAAATATACTCCTTTAACACTTTCCACTCAGTCAGTTATTCTATAGAAGCCAAATTTTGACAGTTTGTTCCACCAGGGCCCAAACCAAATCTAGGGACAATTTATCCATGCTTCCACTGATCCAATGCTACATGTTACCTCACTGATGCAATCATTTGAATTTTGTGGATTCTTGTTTTTAAAAGCCTGGCATATATTTATATAGAGAAACTTGTTTGATCACTAAAGCTAATGATTATCAGCAGTACACTGTTTTCCATATTTACATAAATCTTCATACACCTCAAGTTGGAATAATTCTACAGAGTCCAAGGGTCCTCTGTGCCACAGGAGGCCACTCAACCTACTGAGTTCATGCCAACTCTCCAAAGGGCAATTCAATCAGTATCACAACCTCATTAAGTCCCAAATAACAGCAATATAATTTCTTCAAGTCCCCAACGAATTCCCTCAAAAAAAAAATCAGGAATTGTTTGTACTGCACCATGTCCTAGGCCATTACCATTCACTGAGCAGAGTTCTTCTTAACAGTTCCCCCATATCCCCTTCTCCAAAATCTTAAAGCTGTGCCTCCTCGTACTGTTACGATCAGGTTATGGCAAAAGATTTTCTTTGTCTACCTTACCTTAACTTGTCAACATTTTGTACACCTTTCAATCTCTTTTACTCCAGCCTTTCCAAACCATCACTGCAACCCCACTGTTTCTTTTCACTCTACCTCTTACTACTAACTTATTTACATGCTGGGAGATATCAGAATTCCTTTCATGTTGATTTCCATTCTATTCTCGTTTTCTATCTGCCAATCTTATTTCAGTCTTCACCTCAAATCTCAACTTGTTGTACCTGACCTGATTTTCAGCAAAGAATTCATCTGACATGCAACATTACACTTTTTAGCTCCATCATAATTTCCATCTCCCTCATCATCCAAGGAGCTGAGTTTTTGGCTCCATTACCTTTCAGCCTGGCCCCTGCAGAACTCTTATCTTTTGACCTGTTACAGACTTTTTCTCTGACTAGATTCCTCCACAAAAGGACATTTCTTCACTTTTGAGCACCTCAAGGTAGAGAGTTCCAACACAAGACTAAGTAAACTTTCTTCCCACAATTTTTGCATATATAGTACAAACATTAAGCATTATAAATATTTGGTCAGTGCCGATCCTGGGCCAGTAACCCCGTAAAGTAAACTTCACATTTTATATTAACAATTGACAACATAGCAAATGCTTAAAAAAAGTGTATTGACTCAAATTTACTACAAGCAATTGTAAGGTTCATATTATAACATATGCACTGTTATTCTTCTGACACCCCTTGAAATGTTTTATTAAAACAAACTTATTCTTGTTATTTGTATGAGCAGTTTCCCCTGCTAATGAAACCAGAGTGATCGAGGACATAAGACAACTCAACCTATAGTTGGTACCAAATGCAGCTCATGAAAAGGAAAAATGTACAGAACACACAAGATGGAATCATAATTCTGAAGTTTAATTTTACTGTAGTGTAAAACTAACATAGTTGAGATAATACCATATGGGGTGGCACAGTAGTCATCACTGCTGTCTGTCAACGCCAGGGGCCCAAGGTCAAATCTACCCTTGGGTGACTGTGCAGAGTTTGCACATTCTTAGTGTCTGTATTGGTTTCCTCCCACCATCCAAAGATGTGCAGGCTAGGTGTATTAGCCATGGCAAATGCAGGGTTACTGGTATAGGGTAGTGGGATGGGCCTGCATGGGATGGTCTGAAGATCAGCGTGAACACGATGGGCTGAATGGTCTGCACCCACACTGTAGGGATTCTATGAATAATTTTTAAATTGTCCCAAAAGTTAGGGATCTTACATCCCATTCATTAAGAACTCCTAAAAATAGTACTGAACATTGAGGGCATGCCAGCTTCACTGCATCCAGCATCAATAAAAAAAGTCATATCCCATCCAAACAACAAATAGCAAATGTCCATTCATTATACAATTCTAATCAGTAGCCACCGTAAAAGATGCAACAGCTGCCCACACACCACCACCTTCATTTCCATTCAGGGCCCTAAACAGTCCTTCCAAGTGAGACAGAGCTTCACTTGCATCACCTCCAACTTAGTCTATTGCTCCTTTTGTGGTCTTCTCTATGTAGGGGAGACAAACGTAGACTAGGTGATCATTTTGTTCAGCATTTTTGCCTGGCCCATAACGGCCATCCTAACATCCCTGTCACCACCCATTTCAACCCCCCACCCCACTTCCCCTCAGACATGTCCGTCCTCAGCCTCCTCCAATGTCGCAATGCAAAATTCGAAGAACAACATCTTGTCTTCCATCTGGGCACCCTACAGCCTGAAGAACTCAACATTCAGTTCTCCAGTTTCAACCAACCTTCCCATGAACTCCCCTGGCTCTCCGTCCAGCCCCACCTCCTTCCTTCCATTCTATCTTCTGACCCTCCCTTCCAGCCACTAACTGGCTTCCTCCCTCCCAATGACCAACCAGGTTGTACCTACTACCAGTGTCTACCTAACACCACCATTCTACCTCCATCCCTCTGCCCCTCTATTTATCTGCAGATCCCCCTATCCCCACATCCCGTCCTGAAGAAGGGTTATACCCAAAACGCTTATTGCTCCTTTCCTCCAGATGCTGCCTGGGTTGCTGCGTTCTTCCAGCCTCCTGGATTCCAGCATCTGCAGTTTTTTTTGTCTCTCTCGTCAATAACCTTTTCAACTTGTGCACTCTAGAACAGCTGGAAATTTTTAACGTTTCTTAACACTGTACCTGAAGACAAACTTTTTCCCATTCATTCTCATACTATTTGCATTTCAATGTAATGAAACAAATCACTGAATTGGAATTACGAGGCAATTTATTTTGTACTTTAAGCAATCATTTCAGATCAGCGCACAAATCACACTTCTAATATTTAAAATGAAAAACTGTCCAAACTTTAGTTGTAAAGCACAGTAATTTAACGAAAAGCATCGGAAGTTTTCATGCCTGTTAAACACCTTTAACCAGATGAAAAAGTCATGTAGAAGTACAAACCGACTTGCTGAACCGGACTCGACGAAACATGTTCCTCTGATTTTTTTAGGAGTCGTAAATCGATTCATTCAAAACCAAAAATTACAATTTACCAAAGTGTGTGTTTTTTTTAAATGAAGCAGCATCGATAGCTTTGATATTTGAAAGTTCTTAGAACATAACCTGACCTCGTCAGTCTGCAGATCCTACAAGAACACAGTTTGTCTCTCAACAAAGTTGACGCCGGTCCGGCAGCAATCAACCATATCTACATTATCTTATTTAAGTTGCTTAAAGTGGACTTGTAACATCGACAAAGGTAAAAACAACTATTTGTTGTTATACACCACTTCCCTTTGGCAAAGAGTACAATCACAGCAGGATCGTTCCGAAGTTGCCTTGAAAAAGCAATCAATCACTGAATGGACGGGTACGGGACTCACTTCATACACGAAACAAGTTTCGACCGAGTGGAGGAAACGATTCGATTCTCGTATAACCTGGCGAAAGTCACTCAGTTACACTATTTAAAAAGCGCTAAGAAAAATCTGTCTGAACATAGAGTGCAAGCAAACACATCTCAGGACAGGAAAAATAAAAGTTGTAGGGTCGATCCAAAACAGGCTGCGGAGTTTGTTCCGACAAACTTGGAGAAGGAGGCAAGGAGTTATTTCCTTTGTTTATGAAGTTCGCACACAAAACCTCTTGGAAACGGGCAGAGAACTGCATTTCTTTCTACTTGTTACGAGATTTCCCAGCGGGGTAGATAAATCAGAGAAATAAAAACAGGCAGCCGTTTGATATATTAGAAGCCGAAAACGCACACTTAAATCGACAGAAAGCCCGAGACCGGCCGGCGATGCCATGCCAAGGAGTTTGGGTACTTACTACGGGTCGTTGGTGAATCGTGGGCTCCGGGGCGGCTGATATCCGTACAAATGGCAGTACAGGACGTCGAAGCAGAAGCAGCACATCTCCGAGTTGACCACCATGTTCCTGCCACCAGGGCAGCCACTGAAACCGTTGGCGCGGGTCACGTCCTTGCAGTGGTTTTCGTTAGAGTTGTTAGAAGAGGTGGAAGAGGACGAGCAGCTCGATAGCTTCTGCTTCTTCACTCCACAGCACCCCGCGGCCATCTTGGAATCCACCGGCGCTTCCGCGAAGCCCCGCTTTCTACCCATACTCCTCCGCGGTGTCGAAGGGGGCGGGGCGGAGAGAGGTGGGGGCGGAGCGAGGGCGGGGCTGAGCCGGAGAGCGCTTGCGCCTGGCGGTCCTGTAAGGGGAAGGGAAGTAAGAAGAGGAGCGAGAGAGAAAAAAAAACTGGATCATATCGCACGTGCTGTGGTCCACGAGGTCCTGTCATTAACAGCAAACCGAACGGGCTCAGCCCCCTCCCCCGCCACCATCACCATGGTAACGCGGCCTACTCAATGCCAGCTGTCAACTCGCACACTCACAAACCAAACACCCCGGAGTTCGCCACCGACAATATGCCGCTTTCCGTGAGTGATCCGACTTACAGTTACTTTGAATCCATGCAACCTGTATTTTTAAAAGTGTCATAAGCCCGGTCCCGCAACGTCGGGAATTCTTTGCGAGAGGGCCGATCGCCGCACATCGGGAACGCCATCCCAATTATTCATACTTATTCCAATTGTGCAGGGCCGGCCCGCTCCCCCAGTAAACTTTCCGATTGAACCATGCGAGCAAACAGCATAAGCAAGCAATCCGGAATCTCCTTCAAAAACAAGAAAATAACCCAGTGCTGCGGCTACGGGATCCTGAGTATGGGTGGATCGATGGGGTGAATATCTTTCCCCCCTCTGTCGTTGACCCTCTCTGTGTGAATGACAGCGGACTTAACTTGTACATTCACAATCTTAGTAAATTACTACAAAACACACGCTTGGAAAAAGTCGCAATCACAAAACAGAAGGGTCCAGTAAAATATTATGTACTGTTATAATACGTATGAATTATAATTTAGTCGGAGTTATAGCACCAGGTGTGCTGCAAATTGCATGATAGGATACCATACCACGAATTGCAAGACTTATTAGAAGTAGTCTAGTCCAACTGATTCATAAACAGAAGAATCTTGGGTTCATTTACAATTTACACATTGCCTGTATTTCTAAAATAAACTGAAATTCACACGATTGCAACTACTTAGCTGACGAGATTAGGTATCGTGAACGGAAGGGATGTTAATGACAGTAGAAACTGTGCAAAAGGGAACAAATCACAAAGCAAATCAGTGGCTTAAACACGTTTTTAGGCAAGAGAGTAAAGATGTCACAAGATCACTTGAACAAAAACATTATTAATTTTAGAGGTTGGGTTATTGCTGTATAAGACATTGGCAGGTGCAATCCAGAATACTGTAGAAACTGTCACCTTATCATTGCACAAACATTGGAAAACAAACCGACAATTTAAGACGAATATTTCAAACACAAGAAAAGACTAAAAAATTTGAAAGCAAAAGAACTGAGGATGCTGTAAATCAGAAACCACAAAACAGAAATTGCTGGAAAAACTCAGCAGCTTTGGCAGTTCTGAGGAAGGGTCATTCGACCCTAAACATTAACCCTTGACTTCTATCCACAGATGCTGCCAGACCTGCTGAGTTTTGCCAGCAATTTCTGTTTTGTTACTAAGAAAATTGAGCTTGTTTCAGAAAAGAGAAATTTAAGTTTGAGATTGCAAAGGTAATTAAAGCTAAATTAGGCAATCACAACAAGCATCTATTCAACATAAAATTCATGCATCTATTCAACATAAAATTTTAAATTACACTCTCATCAACAAAATAATCTTCTGGGCTGAGGAGGAGATGGAATTAAGCACTGTGGAGTCTGAGTTGTTGATGAACTCTTAGCCATCAAGGTTCTATGGGGTAACATTTTCAATATGATATATTATTTTGTAATTGGCATCTAGAGGATAGAAGGAAAGGATTCAGCTACTGAAAGTTTACACCAGTGATAAAAAGAATTAGAGGAATGGCATTCAGATTGATTGGGTGTAATACACAGGAGAAAGAAACTTGAAAGGTGGAACTTTGAACAGAATGGATAAAAAAAAGACAGGAAATGTATTCTCAAATGGTGATTGGAATAAAATTAGGATTGAAAATAATGAAACAAAACAGTATACGGTGGCCACTTTGGAAATTAAGATAGCTTGTTAAAAAGACTATTAACAACATAATGAGAGATAGGTAGATTCTCTATGTGGAACAAAATTTTATCAACTGAAGGATACAGAATTATTGAAAATATCCCAGCTATTCAAAACCATTAGTTATGTTGTACACTAAACTTGTGGATTCTGATAGCCGAAGAGCAAAAAACTCTGTGCACCCTAAGAGGATTTTTAATCAGCTCTGAATTATTTAAGTTAATATGCAGTTTTACAAGAACTGTTCTGTTCCATTTTATGGAACAGTGTGTAATCATTTGTTGCACAAAGTCTTACAATCACATAAATTCTTAGAATTTAGGAATAACCACTCCCTGTAAAATGTTAGCAGTCGTAAATGATAAAAAAAATTGTGATAAAATTCTACCATATTATGTCTAGTTTTATCTCAGTACACTAATTAGTTGTATATTTTCAGGCTCCAACAATGTAAACAGTGCTTTGTAATTTCTGAAGTTTGTGTAATATTTTGTCATTATTCATTGCCAGTAAAGAAAATGACAAAGAGTCTGTATTGTAAGAAAATTAGGCATTTAATTCTAGTTCAAATCTAGAGATTTGATTTGGTTTTTAGACACCAAGTTAAGCTCATTAAGGGAGGAATGGGCCATCTGAAAATTTAAAAACAAAAATCTCAAATTGATCATTATATTTCTACCAAGGCCTATTACAGCAGGAAGGTTTTGTGCATTTCATAAAGAAAATATATGAACAATTAGCTTAATATAGAACCTAGAGCTAGATTTTCACCCAGTTCACAGTCAAATTTTAACCTAATTATCTAATATCCATATCAACATAGACTGCCTCCTTCATTTGTAGGATGCTTCAATATACTTAGCATCCATAGATTCTTGTTGTTTAATAATTAACATGTTAGTTCCTTTATCCCTAACTGCTGTATCAATAGAAAGATCCTGAAATGGAAACAGTCCTTTTTTTAAAAAATTCAGTAAGTTAAGACACTTGAATAAGAATTAATTTGACCTGTAAATTCTATGACTTCACAAATTCATACTTTTTAAAAGGTCTGGAGGTGCCCTCTAGAAATGTGTAGCATGTAGAAAATGATTACAAAAGCTCACCTGTTATAGAAATGTCTGTCTTTGCAAATATCTGTATGAACCAGATATAGCATGCTTGAGTCATTTTTATAAACTACCGATTAAGTGCTTGGATAGTAAAATTTAAGCTTTAAAACAGAACAATGACAGGGTCCTTCTGAAAGAAATGAAGCTTATTTACTTGAATTATCAGAAACAATTCATTCTTTAACTTTCTGTTTACACAAGATTGTTTACAATAGTTTTCAATAAATGCAAAACAAAATTATTCATCTATGCCCTTATGATATATACCATCCCAACAATACATCATTTGACAATTGAAATTTTAAAAGATAGTGAAATATATGTTTTAATAATGTTAGCTAGGGGATCTATAAACATGATGAATAAACATGTAATATACCAGTGAGAATAAAAGAGGAAGACACAGCCAGAAACAATAAACCTTTTCTTTGTATTATGTCTTTCACAACTACAGGACATCCCAAAGCATTTTACAGTGAATTGTGCGCTTTTGATGTGTAATGACTGCACTAATGGAGGAAAGTGATGTAAGGTGGTGTTGACAATTCTATCAAGTGGCACTCAGCAATAACTTGATGTGTAGTTAGGTTGTGCCAAAACCACTCAGTCCAGGCCTCATTAACAGCTTTGGTTCAAATGTGGACAAAAGAGATGAACTTAAGAGATAAGGTAAGCCTAACTGTCCTTAACATCCAGACAGCATTTAACCGTTAGTCATCAAGAAAAGATAAATTGCGGGAATAACTCTCCACTGTTTAGAGATGGTTATCATTATTGGAGGTCAGTCATCTCAGACTCAGGACATCATTACAGGGACTCCTTAGGGTAGTGTCCTTAACCTAACCATTCACAGCTGTATCAATGACCTTCCCATCATCATGTGGTCAAAAGTGGGGATGTTCACTGAAGATTGTATAATGTTCAACACCATTTGCAAATCTTAAATATCAGACTCAGTGTCTATATACAGCAAGACCTGAACAAATTTGATGCTTGGACTGGTAGGTACCAAGTAACATTTACACCACATAAGTTCCAGGCAACCACCATTTCCAATAAGAGACAATCTAACTAATGACATTTAATGGCATTACTATGGATGAATCCATCACTACCAATATCCTGGGACTGCTGTCAAGAAATTGAACTGGACCAATCATATAAATACTGTGGCTACAATAACAGGTCAGTGTTAGGAATTCTGTGGTGAGTAACTCCTGTCTTCCCAGTACCTTCCACCATCATCAAAGTACAAGTCAGGACCGTGATGTGTTGCGTGTTGTTGGGCATGCAGCTCCAACGACATTCAAGAAGCTTGATACTATCCAGGACACAACAGCCCACTTGACTAGAACACTATCCACCACCTTCAACATTCACTTCATTTATCGTTGATGCACAGTGGCAGCAGTGTGTACCATCTATACGATGCACTGCAGGAACTCACCAAGATTCTTCTGACAGCACCTTCCACACCCACAACCTTTACCACCTAGAAGGACAAAAGAGTAGATGCATGGAAACACAACCTGTAAGTTCCTCTTCAGACCACACAACATCTTAACTTGGTACTGTATCATCAGATCTTCACTGTCATTGCATCAAAATCCTAGGACTTCCTTCCTAACAGTACTATGGGTGTCTATTCATCCTAAGACCTCTGTGACTTAGAGGACAAAGCAAGTTGAGGATCCCGAGACAGCAACCAGCATTATCTGGAAAGAAATTGCAAAAGCTTGAAAACAGTGTGATACAGAAGCCATCAGAGAGACTGAAGTTAGGTGGGCCAAGTGGAGTGTATGTCTTGCAGTAGGTATGAAGTCATGGATGCATCATTGTGTCCCAACTGAACAGGAAACGTCGTGGGCTAGAAAAACTTGCGATCCGAGTTTTGGAACTTCAGTGGTAGCTTGAGGCACTGCTGTGCACACACGTGGCAC